GATACGTATGTAATAATAATGTCCCTTATTACGTCGGATGTCTGCTTCTTCTATGTGCCATGTCCATTCAGAATGTTGGCGATCATGAATTTTCATCACAAGTTTCAGTCCTTTGTAGCTCTTAAAGTTTCTGCCTTTTTGATATATCTCCTAAACTCTGCTACGCCAACCAATGGCTCAATCTCGCCTGGTTTCGTATATGTTGCTTTTCTCTGTCTCACTTACCTCCAATGTGCCCTGCGAGTATCAAATTATCTAAGTGATCTTTCTTCATGATACGCCCTAGAAATTTAAACTGTCTCTTCCTGATGTGCCCTAGAAATTTTAAATGCCTCTTCCTGATGTACCCTAGAAATTTGAACTGACTGTCTGTTCCTGATGTGCCCTAGAAATTTGAACTGTCTCTTCCTGATGTACCCTAGAAATTTGAACTGTCTATTTTTGATGTACCCTAGAAATTTGAACTGTCTCTTCCTGATGTACCCTAGAAATTTGAACTGTCTATTCTTGATGTACCCTAGAAATTTGAACTGTCTATTTTTGATGTACCCTAGAAATTTGAACTGTCTATTCTTGATGTACCCTAGAAATTTGAACTGTCTATTTTTGATGTACCCTGGAAATTTGAACAGTCTCTTCCTGATGTACCCTAGAAATTTGAACTGTCTCTTCCTGATGTTCCCTAGAAATTTGAACTGTCTCTTCCTGATGTACCTTAGAAATTTGAACTGTGTCTTCCTGATGTACCCTAGAAATTTGAACTGTCTCTTCCTGATGTACCCTAGAAATTTGAACTGTCTCTTCCTGATGTGCCCTAGAAATTTTAACTGTCTATTCTTGATGTACCCTAAAAATTTTAACTGTCTCTTCCTGATGTACCCTAGAAATTTGAACTGTCTCTTCCTGATGTTCCCTAGAAATTTGAACTGTCTATTCTTGATGTACCCTAGAAATTTTAACTGTCTATTCTTGATGTACCCTAGAAATTTGAACTGTCTCTTCCTGATGTACCCTAGAAATTTGAACTGTCTCTTCCTGATGTGCCCCAGAAATTTGAACTGTCTATTCTTGATGTACCCTAGAAATTTGAACTGTCTCTTCCTGATGTAAGCTTCCATTTTGTTTCAATTGACACTAGATCTTCGTGGTTGCTCACATGTTCAGTCTATAATATTCTCAGCACCTTTCAGTAGAAATATATATTTGTTGCTATATGTATCTTCTTTATCTGTGATGAGATTATCCAGCATTTACTAACATTTACGAGGATTGATATTAGGAAACAATCAGTACTCTTTTGTACGTTACAAAAGTTTTTTTTCTCTTTCTTAATACTTTGCTTATCTTTTGGAAGGCACTTTTTCAATCCCAATGTGTACTTCCGTCCTCTGTTAAAGCAATTCCCAGATAACGGTATCGAAAACATCACAGCGCCTGAGATCAGAACATTCAGTAATTATTTTAAAGATATTTCTAATTCACCTCCTAAAATTGAGTTTTCTCTCAAATATCCATGTGTCTTTTATGCCATTATTTATGGTGCCATCTTTTGAGAAAAAAAAGGCATATTATTCTCTTACGCAAGGATGGAGAGTAAAATTTGAAATAAAATGGTCAACGCTAACCAATCTTTTGTTTGCCTTTGAGTCTGCTGTAATACTATCCTCACAAGATACAATATCATAGTCTACAAACCATCGTGTTGGCCGTACTTCGAAATGGAGTCGAATCTTGAGTAATACACCGGTGTCATATACCACGATTTCGGCGACTTTATTATCACATTATTAAGGTTCATAACGAAAACTAAGGTACAAAATTCAGACAGTAAATATAAGATGCGAAGCTATGTGCAAACGATTGAGTAGGTGTACGTTGATCACTTGGTAAAGGCGAAAATCTGTCGGCTTTCAGAGGCGAATCTTGTTGGAAATCCTTTGTTTGTGGCCGACGGATAAACCATTATCCTCTCGAACGTCAGACATTGATCGACCAAGAGGCTACAAGGAAACGTAAAATAAGCTATTTTTTCTATTTAATTTCAACAAATTTCTTTTCCATCCACGTTGAGCTGATTCAGTTTGGAAACGTGTGAATCAATTTTTTATTTTTTATTTTGCTTCCATTTGCAGATTAATTAGCAGGACATGCTGAGATTCCTGGCCTTGCGTGACGGCCAGCCGACAAGAAATAGGAACTGAAAGTTCAAAACGTTTTGGCTGACACGTGACTCGAAGCGAGAAAAGGGTATTAGCTGAATCAAATGTGGCCAGGTCATTCGGTGCAGCTAATCATTGATTAGTTGTTTGGGATCCTACATTGCTCTCGGATCATTGAGAGGATTGTAAGTACATACTTCTTGATCTGTGCATATCTGAAATCCTTCAATTTAATTCAGTCACGCATGGACATCTTTCAAGTTGTATAATATATATTATATGACCCTCGTATATATATATATATATATATATATATATATATATATATATATATATATATA